AAAATCCAATAGCATATGTGTTAGATTAGGACATTTAGCAGCTAATTCGTGCAGCACTGTATGTGTAATTAATTCGATCGGCAATTCAATATAACGTAGTGAAGGGCCGAATCTTATAGATATTAATGCCAAAAGGGATTCCAGTGAACCTGAAACAAAAATTATTTCCACCACGTTTATTTACAAAGTTTAAAATTACTAACGTAGTCAATTTAATGTTTTTTTTTTTTAATTTTGCATGACAATCGTAAATTCCGCTTCTTTAGAATATGATATCGAACGCACTTCGTCACAAAACTGACAGCTGTCAAAATGAACCGGTAACTTTATGACAAAAATTCTTTATCACTCACCGACGTGCAGGCCGGATATTTCGGGGCGAAGACTAACGTGGGTCCATAAACGTGTGTCATACGCCACCATGCGCCATCGCTTGCAGACTGTTGCCATCCGACATATCTCACGGTGGCTCAAGTAAGAGAAAATATTTAACAGCACTTTATCGGGAAGTTTCTCTATGGTCTGAAAAGAAGAAATTCCATTTTGACGTATAACACATCACTATACTTTGGTTAGATAATTTGTATTTACAAATTTCATTTTTATTTCCACCTTGATCTTATTAAATAAATACAAAAGTCATAAATCTTGAAACCGCACAAATTACATAACAAAGCAGTTTCCTTAATATCTGGTTGTTTTATATTTAATAGTGTATTTCGGCACCCTACTATAAGTACCTAATATTTAGTATTCTTTTATATCTGTCTAATTTTACTTATATATACGAGCGTACACATAGATATAATCTTTGATTTCAAAATATAATAACGAAAGCTTTTACGAAAATGCCATCCATCATCATAATAGTAAGATTACCGTGCCAGCGAAAGGACTCCTGACTCCACCTTCTGTCAGATAAACCTGACTGGCTTCCAGAGCCAACTGGCCCCAAACATCTGTAGATATATCCATTTAGTTCCTCACAGCACACGTTAAAATCAATAAAACACACAATTTTAATACAAATACACGATACACGGACAAACTCAAATGCGTTCTATAAAAAGGTACGCTGTGGTTAAATTTGGAAACGCCTGGGTGTCGAAACGGGGGTTAATGTTTGTTAGATATGATAGGTTAGAAAGTTAGGTTAACAAATCTTTTGTAATAAACAAGACATTATTAATCAATCGATGTTTAAGATATTAATTTAAATAAGGAATAAGTGGTTATTATTTCTTTTTTAAAAATACAATTTTTTGCACATTATTATACTCTATGGTTCAAAATAAGCGGGAAAATTAAATGTCAGATTGTATTGAATAATATCTTTGGATAATTTCGTAGACAAAGATCAGTGAGATACACCGAAGAATTTGTGTAATTTTCCTCTGATGCACTGACATATAAATACGATATTAATAATTTAGGTTAAGGTCCCACGCTATACGTATATATTTGCCAAGATTGAGTGAATTATAAGATTTGGAATGCAACTCTGACGTCTTAGTATATCTAAAATATCCTAATATTTGCCTCAATACTGGCACAAGTAACATTTTTCGATTGAGAGCTTTATACCAAAATGTTGTGAAAGCGAAGCCGGACCGAAGCGAGCGCAATTTTGATATAAAAGGGTGTAATAAAATAGCCAAGAAAAAATGATATTTTATGCATTATAATTTTATGTTTTATATAATTCTTGTTGTTTTACGGGCTTAATTTTCGAGGCAATTCTATTTATCAACATCAACTAGTTTTTGTTAATCTTTTAGAAATTGTTAACAATTAATCTATTCATCAATAGATGGCGTGCTAGAACAAAATAAAATTGGTTCCGTGTAAAAAGAAAAAGAAATTATCTTTTCTGTTTCATTTTAAGCTCGCATTTCTGATACTTATATAAGATAGGTATTAAATATGAACTAGAGTATATATTTATTTTGTTAATAATCATTCACTTTGTTTCTCATTCCTCTACTTTCTACTACTTAATAAAAAATTTAGGACTTTGTCAAAATGGTAAAAGTGATTCGTGTCTTACTAATATTATGAATGCAATTGTTTAGATGGATGGATGGATAGATGGATGTTTATTTGAAGGTATCTCCGGAACGGCTCAACAGATCTCACTGATATTTTGTAGAGATGTAGACCATAGTCTGGAAGAACATGTAGGCTACTAATTCAGTATTTAGTTCCGCACGGACGGAGGCACGGACGACAGATATTAGTAAAATAAAATGCAGTCCGTCACTACAACACAGTGCAATGCAATTGAAATGTCATGCCCGTCTCTATCCATCATCACGTCATGTTATTTGGCTGCATTTGCTAGACAATTAATTTGGCTGTCAGTTAAATGTTGATCAAGTGAGACCATCGCTAAGTAAACTATATGTTTACTTTTTTAATTTTACTAATGCTAAAAGCCGAATAACAACTATGTCAAAGATAACACAATTCACGGCCATAAGCCAAATCATATATCAAAAGCAGCAAATACAAGTATGAGTTTAATTTTCTAGTATATATATCTTTTAGCCTAAATAAATTTATCAATTTTAATCGAAATAGTGTAAGGATATATTCAGTCAGATTTCTTGGGTTTTTATTAATGACTGGTTACATTAATGTGTTAGTTTTTTATCTTACGAAGAATTCATTTCGGACATTTATAATTTTTTTATTATTTTTCGTGATAAAATCCATGGTGAAGCAATTTTGATGACGGAGAATTTGGACGGGCGCTATAATTAACTATTTTGTAATTAAAATTCGCAGCCAGCCACACAAAAATGCTAATAATCTACAGCTAAGGTGACTCATACATCCAGGAAATACCTCCCGCTTGCCAAGAGACTGTACATAGATCTTGCAGTAGGTTTCCACTGATGTGGCACTTTTATTAAATACACATTTAATCTCTGTCAACGAAAGTAAAAGGGATGACAATCTTACTAATATTATAAATGCCAATGTTTGGATGAATGTTTGTTAGAATGTATCTTAAGAACGACTACATAGATTACGTTATTAAACAAGTTCCTTTTTATTCTATGCTGATGGAGTCGCGGGCGACAGCTAGTATGTAATGAAAATAGTGTCACTATAGTGGAATTCTACGGTTACAAAGTGTTTCGAACATGTCGGACAAAAATTATTATTTTTCGAACGTCTTCGTTCTCATTAAAACGAACGCAAGATTTCACGTTGATTGAGGCCATTTGTTCTTAATTTATTTTGAAATAGCTTTTGGCATATTTCAACATCGAAATGTTTTGTCTGATAAACAATATGGCGGATTAATCGACACCTAAATCCCTGTTAAACATATTGTTTTGTCTGTTTTGTCAAATATAATGACAAGGATGACGATATGATTTAAACTGAGATTTTGAATTCAGAAATCGAGTAGATAAGGTTGAATGAAATCGTAGCTTATGTTTCAATTGTTTTTTTTTAAGTGGATAAGGTTCAAACAAACAGTAAATCGCTTAGTGATACCCAAAGCCAGGGGAGCTGAGTATGCTTTGCCGGCCTTAAATGTTCTTTAAAGATGGATAGTGAAATTAATTACGATCATCTTATTGTTGCTATCCCATTCTATGTCCTAGGTCTATGTCTAGTCCTATTATGGCATAAAATGTATCACGCGAATCATTCATTTCTTCCAAGGTCTAACCCTACCGATGTACTTCTCAATATCAAAATCAATATGGAATTTTTATTGTTATGTTTGAACTTGAAGAGAAATTCGAAGGTTATACTCATAACTTAACTAATGAGGTGCGGCAAATTATACAAGAAGTATGATTTGTTTAAATATAAAATTCGAAATAATAATATAAGTCGCACTACAAACTTTACTTTTTCAAATTAATTATTAGTTGACAAAACTTACTATTAGATGTTTACGTCGAAAACTAGTCTGCACGTCATCCTCCCTTGAGATAGCGATGGCCGCAGTATCCACGTTCAGGATTCCCCACGAATCCATGTTTCCAAAAAAAATAACTTCACACTAACAACACTGACACCACTGGCTAATTAAAAAAAAAGAAAACGTTCAAATTCAAAAAGCGTTCATCCAATAATTTAAGCGCGAAAAGTTAACACTTCGATTTTCATCCGTTTATTTTTTTTTGTACGCAACGACCGATGTTGCTTGCGGTCGTGTTTGTTGTAAAGTTATGTCGAAGAAACGTATCTACAGGTTCGAATATTTAAATTGGCAAGACGAAATAAGTGCGGCATTTCGCTCCAACTGGGCTGAAATACAGTTTGGCTGCCAAGAAGACTTGTAATGCAATCATGTCACAGTGACTGACGGACGGACGTATTAACCCGTCTATCTGGCATCGAACCGTGTCTGTCTCACGCGGCAGACATGTAATGGGAAATTAATTATTCTCTAAATACGATATATTGGTTTCGGATTTAAGCATCCGTTTTGTCTCATCGAAATGGTATGGTAAATAAAGGCTGAATATGTCTCCGAAAAAAGATGTGTATAAAGATATCGAACCTATAATATACGATATGTGGTTCAGGTATATAAAATTTGTATATTTAGTATAATAAAAGTTTGAAATAAATCCAAATAGAATATAATTTTCCAAGAAAATATTTTGATACAGTCACCTCCAGCGTATTTTTCTTGAAACATGTTGAACAACGCATGACAATACTATCTTAGTATGCAAACTGTATTATAGATGGCGCTATTGTGAAATGCCAAGAAATATTTAAAAAAAACAACAAAATGGGAGCTTTCTCATACCTTCTTAATCTCATTCGCGTCCAAAACTGTAAAAAATTCTTCGTTAATTTTATAAACATTGAAAATTTCAAAATATTTTATAACTTGTCAACTTGAGGTATTGGCAACATTTTTAAATGTCAATTTCGTCCGCGCTCATTCATTTAATTTATTCGTTCAAAACAAAGGCATTCAATATCGTTCAATTGACTCATTCAATTGTTTATTAATTTCGAACAAATTCTGCACTGCATCTAATATTTATTCCAGCCAGTAACGCAGCGGGTGTAGGTTTTCTTAACGATTCCGCGGAATATTGTTTGTTTTGTTCCTAATTATAAAATGATGTTATTATAACGGAATATTGTGCGTTTTTTTAAACCGGTGGGGTTGAAGTGTGATATTTTATCACTAATCTGTGAAGATAAGAACACGATCGGGCGTTCTCAATCTCAGTGCAGATTAGTTCGTCTGGAGAGAATAATTTTATCTCGGAAAAATATGAGAGAATATCATAACTAATACGCTACGGATCAAGAAAGCTCGTGTTTTAATTTATTTTAATTTGATACACGTGCTTTGAATCTTATAATTATGGATAGCTCAGTTATGGCGGGTTATGTTCCGGAATATATTTGGAATTTTGTGGAGGAATTGGACGAACACCCGTGGCTATTTGCAGCTCTTGCATCGATACTTGTCGGTTTAAGTGGTATTCTGCCTTTGCTGATCATTCCTATCGATGAAACTGCGACTTTTAAAGACGGAGGTGAGTACATTAATATTTACGAAATGCGTATTATTTATAACTTTGAATCGTCACTTGGATTGGCGCCGGTTCTTTGTTTTAAATACAATGTCATTTACTGCGAAGTTTTAAAAATATAATTACTTTTGGGCGCAAATAAGTATGTAAATAAGTAAAATGTAGCATCTATTTTATCGTCATTGGTAAAGTTATTTTTTGAAAGTGAAGAAAATCTGGTCCTCTGTTTATTTACTTATTTTATTTTTGCGTTTATTCAGATTGTAATATTCGACTCACAAGTATGCAATTGGCAAACTATTAGAAAGGCACAAACAATTTAATTGGGTTGTCTGTTAAATCCAATAGAGAAATGTGACCATCTGAATGTAGTCTATTTCTCCACTGTGATCTTAGATGACTCCATAGAAATTATGGTTTCTTATAGACTGATTTTGGGGATTAAGGTATCATATTTTTTTTCTACATGTTACTGCAACTAATGTAGCATATCCCTTAACCAATCAAAACATGAAGACAGGATGTATACTTTGAACAAAACATTTTGGTACTATACAAAATGTTATGTAAACTATGAAATTAGCATGGGAATTGTATGCTTCCTTCATTATAGCTTATTGTTTTGTACTGAGACATGATGATAGTCTGATCATTAAGAATTCCAATTTTGTTTTTTAATTAAAAAGTGGTGATATGATAATTATATATAAATAATTTCATCCATTCATGTAAATATTCACATTTAAAATATCAGTAAGATGTATAGAAAAGTTCACTTTTTAATAACTGTCCAGTACTTAATATAAGTTAATATTATCCCTCTCATCCTCTTAGAAACTGAGATAACAATATGTTTTTGTACAAGTGCATTAAAAGTGGAAACATAGATTGATATAAAAGATCAATAATTTTTAAATCAGCGCTTGCTATGATTTAACAACTTATTAAATATAATAAATGTGGCATCAACAGAAAGTGTAGTGTTACAAAAGAAAAGAGATCGGATGTATACTTTGCCACCCGAACAAAGTAGGGTTGGATCGCTAGTATCATATTACTGTGAACAGGCAAATATCTACTGTTATCTTGACATATTCTTTTGTCAGAATTATTAGTGCATTGTTTTTAATAATAAAACTACATGCATTAAAGTTACAACTGATTAATCAGAAAAAAATAATCTTTTGTTCAAATGAGTTAGCTTTGATGCTGACTTACTATAAATAAGTAAAACATTTCATTACCTTTTCTTTTCTCTTTGAAAAAATAAAGATAAAAATATGTTAATCTTGTTAAAACTATATCTTATCTTACTTCTTACTAATACTATAAATGTGCAAGTTTAGATGGATGGATGTTTGTTTGAAGATATCTCCTGAACTTCATAACAGATTTTGATGAACTGGCACACATGTACAACATAGTCCGAAAGGACACAAGCTACTTCATAAGATTTTTTTTTAAATTCCTCGCGGACGGATTTGCGGGTGTCAGCTAGTGTTGAATAATTTAATGGTTTACATTAGTGTCATTTGTTTTTTAATTTCTTTTTGATTATCTTGTTGCAATGCTGTTTGTCAGAGCTTGCTAATGTACGGAGAGCACTTGAAAATCTTACGATTGCGTCAAATTACGAAATTTAAGATATTGCCCAAACAAGTTCGAACAGTGCCGATTTCTATAGCGATAAGAAAAAAAAACTACGATATTACTTATCTTGCTTTGTATTGCAGATCAATTGCTGAGAAATGATCTTAAAATATTGTTCAAACTAAACTCGCAAACCATCATTTCGTCAGTTCTGTTACTATGGCCTCTCTAATGATTTGGATAATTTCGTCATAATTTTTTTTGTGTTGTAATATTGTGGATAGTCCCTGCTTCTCTGTCGTCAGCTCATATCCCAACCAAGGAGCTCAGAGCCTACCCAAATAAGGGGTGACTGGGCCATATTCAACATTGGTCCAGTGAAGGTTCGATGATCTTCACGGTAAGAACGTCGAACACATTGGTATAAGGCGAGGACTGAACTTGAACGTTTAGTCTTTGGTCAAGCATTTAACAATTGCGTCACTGACGCTCTTACTTCTGTGTAGGCCGTATTAATTGTAAACTTAATGCTTAGAACTTATTAAAAAACTAAGCGATGTCCGATAGATACACCCTATATCTCTGACAAGACCAGGAATTGAATGAAAACTTCAAAATCAGTGAAGCCATTTCGGCTACGTCATAATAGAACATAAATATACATATACAGGGTGTGTATGCATGTATTTATGTTCTCCTTTACAAGCTGTTTATTGAATCGTATAATTTCTGTTCTCCGCGACGTGATTGCCATATTTTCTCCGCCTACTCTACGTGTTATCAAGAGCCACAGTTGTGCGAAACATTATGCCGAACGAACCGTGAAATTGCCTTTTATAATCACTAATGCTATAAAGTTAACATTATTGCTAAGTTATTTGATCGCTAGAAGGATATTTTTAATTTTGACAGGCGGTATGGTCAGTTTAACTCTATGCAAATAGATTACGTTTCTGAAAGCTTATATACTTTTTTATTTTTTTTAGAATTGCCATGACTACTCTACGTTTGTTTTTTTTGCATAACGATCAATTTAAAAAAAAAGTTTCGGACATGGGTTCAAATGCGAGTTTATGTTTCTGAGAACGTCTCCTTGCGGATACACTTGCATTGATACCTATTGTAGGTAGTCCCTTTTTTTGTCAAACAAGATGAAAGGGATGTCAATATGTCTTATAAAAAGTGTGGGAACAATTTACTTTCATTGAAATTGAGGTCCAATTATCTAATTCGACAGGTATTCGAAAAACAAAATCTAACACCATGGGGCCTGGCAACAGTAAGATATTATCTTTTGAATACTAGGCTTACTAAGAGAATACTTAGAAAGTGTTCTGGTATTTTTTTTTAAATACGAATACTCAATGTCAAATGTTTGACAGCCCACTCGAAGTGGTCCAGGTAGATTATAAAATGGCGGGGATAAAGACGGTTAACAAATTGAAAAAGGAATGTAGCAGCTGTGGGTTACCAGTAAAATTATAAAAAGAAAAAAAAACAATACCTGATTTGAAAAATGTCTGAGCGATAGTCCCTCGTGTCTGCCGTATCCCGAGGCATTTGTATTTTCGTAACTTATGACCTCTATAATACATTACTGAAGGTCTATAGTATTATCGGGTCTGAGAGTTTTATCTGTACGTGAGAGGCTGCACACGCTGATAGCGCGGAGATGGAGATAATTCAGCCGTTGACACACAGATGACCGATAATAGTATAACATATACCACTTGACAATACTACATTGTTTATGGAATTGGTAAAAATACCAGAATACCGCAATGACGAGATACCGACCTATCCTATGAAAAGAGTTACATCTTTTAACCCTTTTACTGGTGGTGGCGATATGTGTGCCACCAATATTTTTATGATTTTTTCCACTTTGTTGGACCAATACCTGAAAAAATGTTTTAAATTTTTTCACCAATTACAAGAGGAAAATCCATGAACAGTATTTAACAGAGCTGATACTGTCACCATGTTTTTTTCTTCCACTAAATATGATTGTTTTTTTTCTTTAATAAAAGTTATTAAAGTACCCACAATAAACTAAAAAACGAGTCTTTATTTTTCCGAGACACAAAATTGCTTCTACCAGTTAAAGGGTTAAGTCATTTCTTGGACACCATGACATCTCTTTTGAGTTAGTCTTTGACAGGAAACAATGTTAGGTGATTTTAAATTATTTTTCGCTTTGTAAATATATTACAAAGCTTAAAAGTACACGATACAAGAACAATTCTTATCTTCTGCACAAACAAAGTTAAAAGGTTACTTAAGAGTCAGTATATTTCTTATTTCTCATAAAAAACACAAAGGAACTTCCTCATTTATCGATTGATTGTTGCACTTAGATGATCTATTCGAAGTTTAGTACAGACTTCAAAATATAGTTAAAGGATATATATGTTATATCTAGTTTACATTAAGCCAGTACAGTAGAACAGATGCTTTGGCCTTGCTTGCAATTCTTTAGCTCATTGGCGCCAGTTAGTGTTTATATGCCAGCTACTGACATAATGTAAACTAGGAATTAATCTAAAGTCAAAGATAGCAAATAATATATTTCTTTAATAGATTATCTTATATCTTTAAATGAGCAATTCTTGTATATATATTATATATAATTGGAATCTCGGAATCGGCTCCAACGATTTTCATAAAATTTAGTATATAGGGGGTTTCGGGGGCGATAAATCGATCTAGCTAGGAATCATTTTTAGAAAATGTCATTTAATTCGTGTTTTATCGATAATCAACTTATACATAAACTTAACTTTTTCTATCGGTAAGATCGAAAAATATTATTCATATTTCATCATTTTATTAGTAATTCGTACTTAAATATTATAATTTCCAAAAAACACAATTTAAAAAAAAATACCGAGCAAGGCTCGGTCATCCAGGTACTGAAGATTAAATCACAATATAACTTGTAAATATAGATAACAGCAATTAAAATTTGTTAAATCGTTTGATAAGAGCAATACACGTTATCAAATAGCGATTACAATAATATAAATATTTATATCTATATATATATTAGTAAGTCATGATAATTCAGTAGCATAAATATTAGTTTATAACGTGATAATCTGATTTCATGGTCCGTCATGAAAAGAGTTATATCTCATGAGATGTAACTCTTTTCATTGGGGTTTCTATAGACTCTAACCGTGAAACATTCCGATCAATCGGTTTATTCGGCCCAATGGGTAAAATATTCCCATTGGGCGTATTGATTGGTACGCCGATCGGCCCAACGGGAAAAAAACGCTGTGATATTTTGGCATACTTTAATCTCTTTTTATTTTAAAGAATTCTCTTTGAGTTTCGATTCGAAATTCCTTTTATTCGTACTAATATGATAAATAAGAAAATTAAGATGGAAAGGCACAACCGATGTTGATGAAATTTAGCACAGATGTGGGCTTCTTTTATGTTTTTTTAATTTCGCGCGGACGGAGTTGCAGGCGACAGCTAGTGTTTCATAATTGCTTTAACATTCCAACTCACAGTAACAATGCTTTGTATTGTATTTCCAGCTGGAGCTGCGACCTTGAGGATATTGCTGAGCTTCGCTGTAGGCGGTCTGCTTGGTGATGTCTTCCTGCATTTGTTACCTGAAGCCTGGCAGCATGATCTGGCTAATACTAAAGGTAATTATAAAATTTACTATCACACTCAGGGACGTTAAGTTGGAACTTAAGTAGACCCTAAAATAGATCTATGAATAAATTCAAACATATTGATTTTGGGTTTTCTCACTATAGCTTAAATCTTTTGTGATTAAAAATAACTTTAGAGAGGTAACAAATTTTCAGTATATTAAATTTTTAAAAATATGTATGTGAACCAAATAATTTATTAAATTAAAAAAAATGTATTGTTAAAATATTATAATTAAAATTTTATAATATAAAGTTGTGTTTGAACAAGTGTAAAAAATATTAACAATTACGTAATTCTATTATTACCTTCATGTTCCCCATCACAGTGTAAACACATTGGCAACTGTGTGTTTACACTTACCGTGGATTTCTGATACCAAAATGTGATACGTTTTATACGGAGATTTTGACATCAGAAACCAACGATTATTCAATGTTCATAAGTAAATACTAGTAAGCATTGGTACAAAAAAATAATCAAAACCACCGTTATTCCCCACAAAAATTATACGTTTCGCTGTGAAGATGTAAGGGAACGTACCCATACTCCGCGACCCGTTTAGGGGGGGGGGGCGGTTAGCGGAGTCTTTCAAATACTACGGTTAGCCACAGAAGCGGGGGGGGGGCTCAGGTTTTTGTGACGTAGTCGTTTGTTGTTCTTTTTCATAATACATTATTTACTAGTAATTTAAGTATGCATGCAGTCTTAAAAATACTTAGAAAAAACTAAAAAAAATAGGTCACGTAGTATGGGAATGTTCCCTAATATACAAACACATAATTTCATCAAGAGCAGTCTCAACTAGGAATTAATTATAATAAGGGTAATAAAAAATGTTTACTGAATTGAAACACTACCGGTTACGAACAAAATATACTGTTTTTTATTAATTTATAATATCAGATAAGATCCGTTTTTTATTCGGCTAAATCTCGTTGTTAGAATTATTTGTTCGGTTTCAAGCAAAACTATTTTAAAACTTAAGAATTTAGAAAAAAATATATATTCAGTATACTTTATACTCTTACTAATATTATAAATACGAATGTTCAGATGGATGTATGTTTGTTTGAATATATCAACAGAACGTCTGAACGGATCTCGATGAATTATCTTACATGTAAAATATACATCTACCACTAACTATATTTTTTTAATTCCACGCGGACTGAGTGGTGGGCGACAGCTGTAGCAAAATAAAAATAAACTGATATACATAACGACAATGAATAAACATATATTTGCTTTACATATTAAAATATTTAATGTGAAATTCATGCGCCATACTAAAATCCATTGTCAAGTGCAACGCACACATTGATCTTTCCTATTAGAATTACACACATGCAAACAATGTATAGGTTTTGTGTTGCAAGCTTATCATAATTACTACGACATTATGCATTTGAATTTAACTCTTTTTGTCTATAAAATAAAGAGTAAAATCCTATAAAGAAATTTTGCTATAAAATTGAGTTCCTACTGACACTAACTTCTACAAAATGAACTTTATAACATTCGCAATAAAGTCGATATTTCAATGAAGTATCATTGCCACCTCGTGGTAGTATAGGTTTTGTGTTCCGAATACGTCATACTTATACAAGCGAGGGTAAACAAAGAAATGTGTTACCGGAATTCATAGTGTCATCGTATCTTTTATTGAGTGTTTATAATAAATAAATCAAATAATAAAAAGTAATGATTCATTAGACATTTTTATACGACAATAAAAGGAAAATTAAAAATAGAATATGCACAAAGAACATTACTTCTTACTGATATTATTAATATTATAAATGCGGATGTGTAAATGGATGGACGGATGTTTCTTACAAGCTGTCTGGATGGATCTTAGGAACGGCTCAACGGATCTTGATGACATTTGGCATAGATGTAGAACATAGTCTGGAAGAACAGATAGGCTACTAATTAATTTTTTTTATTCCGCACAGACGGAGTCGCGGGCGACAGCTCTTTATATAAAATTCTCGTGTTACAATGTTAGAAACAATTTGACCTATTTCTGAAACAATTTTTTTTTTAAAATTGGGTTATAAATAAAGCAAATACCTTGTTTCCATTATATGTGATTTTTCGATATTACATACAAACACTCCAATTTTATTGTGTAGATGTAATATAGTAATAATCTGTTTAATACAATTATGTTGTGTAATAAATCTTCTAAAAATAATTGCATTGAGTCAATTGACCTTATCAATATTTATTGTATATGTAGTTATCAAATGTACTTGTTTGTTTGTGACTCGATTGTGAATGTGACATAGTTTGCTGAGATAATATAAATGTGAAGTCCCTTTTAATGATCACATTACATTTCTAGTTACAGGAAAAAATAATGGGAACCTTTTGAACTCTGGTATACATATAATAGTATTCATAATAATATGATAATCGGAAGTACAATCTTGCATTCACAACTTCTTGGAGGAGAATGTAAAGGAGGCACAAAATCCCTCCCCTCTCCGTACCCCTACTCTCTAAATAAAATTCAAATCAAAGTAAATATATTAAAAAAATACATTTTTCCCCTATGGGCCTTAGACTGGTGTCCAAAATAGGTACCCTGTGAGATGGATCATAAGGCCCTGGTCCCACAGACCACAAATTACAAAATAAAGAAATGTATATCCACATTAAAAAAAAACTTGTTTTTCATGAATTATTTACCAAAAAAAAAATTAAACAAAAAAAAATATTTTCATAACATTGGAATTGTCTTTATATGGTTTTATTTTTATTTTTTACAGAAGGTGAACATGTATCAATGAAATGTGGACTATGGTGTTTATTCGGTATGCTGGTATTCATTGTGGTGGAGAAACTGTTTGCTGCTGCAGAAGCTCATGAAGAAGAAGAAGAAAAACCTAACGGACCAATCAAGCAGATAGAGATAGAAGAGATAGAGAAGTTGTTGGTAGCGGAGAGGAAGAGCCGGGGGAAAGAGAATGGAGGACTCTGTGGGAATGGAACTGTGACTGCTAAACAGTTGTATGATACATGTGTGTTTAATAATAATACTAAAGGTTAGTTGAATACATCTTACTAATATTTCCATGTATGGATGGATGGCATGTGTGTTAGTAGGCATCTTCAGAATGTCCCGATGAAGTTAGGCCTGGTTTTAGAACATAGTCTGAAAGAACACACAGGCTACTAATTTTTTTTTACTTTACTGTTGCTTCTTAAATGTTATCGTCAATATCCTTTTTTCCTATGGAGGGTCTCCACTTTACTCATCCATACATTTCTATCAGCTGTCATATTTGAATACATTCCCTTCTTACCCATTCTCCGTGTCATATATTCCATTGATTCTTTCTTCAGGCTTCCTATATTTGTTACCTATTTGACTTATAAGTAAAAGACCAAAAATTTTAATAAATTAAATTTTTGAACCAAGAAAATGTCTTCATTTTTTAGGTCACCATGGTTAAAATTTTATACAGTACATATATGTTTTAATCATAATGAGAGGAATGAAATATTATTGTTATATATTGTTACAATATATTTGTTGTTGTAACCAGGTGAAGGTGGATGCTGCAGTGCGGTGGCCACCAACGGTGCTGTAAAATGCAAAGGCAGCAGCCGCTGGATGGGCCGCTGTCTGCTGCGAGAGGCGAGAGAGAAAGCTCACCAGCTCAGCAAGGAGAAGACTGAGAAGAAAGACGTGAGTTCTCTTCTATTATCTTCTAACTCTATATCATCATGTCTGGATGACTGTATTGTTGCTAAAACTGCGGAGAAATTGGAAAAAAAATCCTAGTTTCCACAGAAGGCACGCCTGCGTGCGGAAGGACTTATTTTAGTCCTTTTTAGAAGAAACCCTTATAGGATCATTTTGTTGTCCATCTATATGTCAAGACTTTTTTAATTTTTTTTTTGCCCTTTTCTTGGATGGGAAGGGAAAGTGTATTTGGCAGAAGATATGTATTCAATTTCTTTATGGAAGGGGAAAAATTCTCTTACTGTGTGTCCTCCGTTGATTAGAGGTAGACATCATCTGCGAATGATGTGTGACGGCTCACCAGTTTGCCACCTTCTTATATTAAAAGTTATGTGTAATTACTGTACATATCATTCCAGGTGGCTGGTTACCTCAACCTAATGGCAAACTCCATAGACAACTTCACTCACGGCCTGGCTGTGGGAGGATCATTCTTAGTCGGCTTTAGAGTTGGATTGTTGACTACCTTCGCTATACTGGGTGAGTGCAACTGATCTATATTTTGTAAATATCTTCATCATTATCATCAACTCTATAGATCCCCCTGAGAGTCTCGAACCATGCTGGCCCAGTGCTGATAAATGTCGTACTAAAATAATATTATAAATGCGAAACTTTAGATGGATGGATGTTTGTTGGAAGATATATCCGGAACGGCTCAATGGATCTAAATAATATGCACAGGTGTATGTTAAGTTGATTTTCTAATTCCGCGCGGACGGAGACGCTGGCTACAACTAATAACTAGTTTTAATTTTAATTTCTACCATTTTTCTTAGAACTATTTTATATTTCGCAATATAAAGTCTATTTGTTCACAAATAGAATATTTATTGACAAACGCAACAGTATAAATTAGTTTAACGTCTGGTATTTACATAACAATTATCTATTTTTCTTCCAGTGCACGAAATACCGCACGAGGTGGGGGACTTTGCTATATTATTGAAGAGTGGTTTCTCACGCTGGGAGGCCGCCAAAGCACAGCTGGTAAAAATTACTTATAAATCACTCACATTTTAAAAACTGTCTAAAAATACGAATCAAATGAAACTGCAAAAGACTTTGGAAGAAGTACTATTTCGTGCATAAATGTATGTAGTTAGTAATAAAAAATAACTTATTTTCCAGGCCACAGCATCAGCAGGTCTGATCGGAGCCATGACAGCTGTAATCTTCAGTGGAGCGAGAAATGCTATAGGTATGTAGTCTTCTCTGAACTTAGCAGGATCTTATTGTTTTCCCCTAAACTTCTAAACTACCAACAATGTATCTCCATTAAAAATAAAAATAAATTTGTAAGTAACGGAGTATCTCCATTGTGGTAAACTGTATTATGACAATATTGCCATTCCTCTCAAACTCTTAGGTAGAAATTGAGATAGCTAAAATTGTGACGTCATTCGAAATTGCTAGTATTTCAACACCCAGAGTAATAAAAATCAACCATATCTTAGGTTAAATCTTAGAAAATTAAATTTGAATATTGTATAAAATTTACAGAAGCGAAGACATCTTGGATAGCACCATTCACGGCGGGTGGTTTCCTCCACATTGCGCTGGTCACCGTACTCCCAGACTTACTCAGAGAAGACGACAAGAAAGAATCCGCTAAACATCTAGCGGCTTTGCTCGCTGGAATCGCTGTTATGGCGTTCATGACCAAGTACTTCGGATAGACCATTAGACCGATAGACTGGAGTTTGTGAATTAAGTGTAACAGTAAATATTATGGTGCTAAGTTATGTGTTGAGTGAAAAATCCGGTTTTGAGTGTGTTATTAGAAAAAAACATCAGCAGAAATAAAAAAAACAAGCATAACTTAAGGTACAGTATGAAAAAAAAATTGCATATTTTTAAATAAGTAGAAGTAATTTTAAAGTAGTATTTGATTTGGAAAAAAATATATTAAAAGATAAAAATTATTCATAACAAGCTCAAATCATGTACATAAATATTAAATGTAACAAAATCATCATTTGTTTTCGATTGGTAATTAAAAATAAGTAATACATAATGTAAATTAAGCTTAGAGATGTAAAAATTAAACAAAAGAACCCATGGATATAATAATTAAGGAAAACACAAGTCTTTTATAAGGCTATGTAAAAAATTAATTAATGCAATTTATATATAATACTCTATAACCATCTTAAGTAAGGGAAATAATTTGTTAAAGTAATTGTGTCTGTGTTTCCACTATCCAAAACATGTGTGCAAAAGCATATTATCATTATTTTTTGTCATGACTAAAGATTTGTGATCTAAGAATGCAGTGAAGCTTAAGGGACAGATCTACAAGTCCTTGATAAGACCTGTCGTATTGTATGTTATCTGAATGTTGGGTTGTCAAGGTTTCCGATGAAAGAACATTGAATGTAGCTGAAATGCATATGCTAGATCGATATGTTGTGTGATAAAAAAGGATATAGTTATGTATGTGTGTAAAATGGGAAGTTTGAAAGTAGCACCAATGATCGAGGATTTGAGGATCAAGAGGTTAGCGTGTTATGTGAAGGTATGATATATGCAGAAAAGTAATGAGATTGAATGTTGATGGCTACAAAGTGGATAGTAGAGGTAGACCAAAGAAAGTATGGATGGATTGTGTGAGAGAGGATATATGTAAGCAGGGGGTGAATTTAGATATGACGGCTGATAGAGATGTATGGAGGAATAGTACATACTGTGCCGACCCCCCATAGGGACAAGGGCAGGTTGATGGAGACAGAAAGAGACAATATGTTTTTGCACTAGTATTTATACCGTGGAAACTCATGTTCAACAATATAACTAGTAAGATAGTAGCATTGAAAATTTTATTTTTGATACAAAAGTAATAGATGAGAATAAAGTATTACATATTTTTAATATGTTTAAAATTTAAGACCTAAATTTAGGAAATCACTTAACAAGATATGCAATTTTATATATCAGTTTATGCAATTTTCATGTAGGTTTAATATACTAGTATTTAAGTTTAAAAAAAGAAAGCCTGGTTTTTTTAGATGAAGCAGAAATAATACTTTTCTAATCAAATTCATTGTGGATTTCATAAATATTAATTATTATCTACCCTAAATTCTGTTAAAAGTTTGAAGCATATCACTTTTTAATTCGATGAATTGGTGTGAGACATATTTAGTCATATAATTAAGTCATATCTTATACTCTAATGTAATAAATAAATAACGTAATCTTTAGATAATAAAATAAAATAAATTACTCTTGAATATGACATATTTACTATAAATATATAATGTATAATAATTAATTTAACAAAAAATAGTAAAAAATATGCACACAAATATAATTATTGGCATGTTTTCATAATTACATACTTTTTTATGTAACACTGGGTTTTGACTGTTGTGATACATATTGTGGTCTCCATTTTTTTTAAACAAGTTCAAACGATTTTAGGAATATTAGGTTGTATTCTGTACTAATGATGTTTTAATATCTGCCTACTTTTCTGAGTTACCATCGAGTTAACAATATTATTTCCACCAATATCATGCCAAAGAGTCCATAATAACTACATAATTTACCCAAATATATCTTTTCTTGAAGGCAAAATTATACACATAAATAAATCCTATAATAAAATTCTCATGTTAGTTACCATACTCCTCCAAAATGGCTTGACCGATTTTTATAAAATTTTATATGCATATTCAGTATGTCTGAGAATCGGCTACTATCTATTTTTTAATCCCGCGCGGACGGAATGGCGGGGAAGAGCTAGTACAAGATAAAAAGGTTTGACAAAAATGAAAAGAAAAAGAAAACTTAAAAATAGTTGCAAACAGCCTAATGTTTAAATTACTCGAATAGATTGTTAAGGAACATTATAACAATATTTGAAAAGTGTCTTATTAAAAAGGTCAGATGAACCAATTTTTTTTTCCTAGTTTAATTTTAATTGATATAAGTTTAGTGATAACAACTCCACTGTAGTAACTTAGTTTTTAGTACAAATTAGTATATTCATTGTGATAATATTAGTAACTTCAAACTATGTATATTAACTTTAAATTCAAACTTATACATATAAATTATACCATTTACATTGGACTTGGATAAGCTAGAGTCAAAGGGACTGGGTGATTTTTCTTACTCATACTAGTTTCAAACCTAAATTTTACGTTTATGCAGTTTGTTGGGACCGGACAATGACGTACTTTTCTGTTAGTTTCTGTGTCAAAAATCTCCGTTTAAAACATATTGTTATCTCTGTATTGTTAAATATAATTACTGGGATAAAGATATGTTTTAAAACAGAAATTTTTGACTCAGAAACTCACAGTTATAGAGGTGTCTCGCTCATCCAGGTTTGATTGTAAACACTAAAAATGACTATGTATTGGTCAATTTTAATGACATAATAACTGTAAGTTTCCGAGTCCAAAATCTCTGTATAAAATGTATCATCATCTTTGTCAAAATAGAGATAATAAGATGTTTTAGAGATTTTGGTTTTAGAAACCCATATAGATGTATTATGTATGAATTGAAGTTAATATTTTATTATTTAACTTATGTATTGTTTTCATTTGTTATAGTGCACTTACATACTCTGTTATTTCCCATATAAACAATATTTTTTTTATTAGTTGTAGAATGGCGTAGTCCTAAATGTATTGTGATAAAAAATGGCCATTTAAAAGTATTGTAACGTGTATAACATATTTTATGGTAATAAAAATATTGAATTCATTAAAAAATATAATCAAAAATCTTATTTATAACTGTTAAGGTATTTTCTTGCCTTATGATTTGTTTTATTTTGGAATTCGCAAAAGGTGGATAAAAAGACGTTTTTTGGGATATGAATTTATTTTCTCATAAACACTAATATACAATAGGATACTTATATTCCTTTATGTATTAAAACTTTAAAAGATAAAATAAAATCACGCTAAAGTAAAAAAAAAATTAACAAAATGGATTAATGGTGTCGGAACCAGCCATTTTGAATTTGAGTAGTTTTCTCAACATGAATATAATTAAAAATTTAGTTTTTTTTACATAGAGATTCTCTGCTAAAACAAAGGTGTTTTATATGGTAAATATACAAAAAAAAGTTGAATAAAACAAAAATATTTAATAATTTTTAACATTAGCCAATATGTAAATCGAAACATTTTGAGGTTAAGTTTAAAAACAAATTTAAACCCGAGTCTTAGTGCGGGGTTATAAAAGTACTAAGAGATAAAATATAGTTTTTTAAATGCTAGTACATGGCATATATTTAATATATTTTTACATAACGTAGACTTTCTCCACGCGTTTCATGCAGAACACCTCCTTGGTCTTGGGGCAGGTGATTGATCCGTGTTCCTTCATCATTTCCTTCAGCGCCTGACAATTAAAACGAAGTCATTTATAAAGGTTGTTAGGCTTTGTGTAGTTTTTGAGTTGTTTTAGTCTAGTTTTGTTGAGTTAGTGTAGTTATTGCTTAAAGTTTTTTTTTTATTTTTATATTTTCAATTTTTTTTTTCAATTTTTCCTTCCTTTTTGTAATACAAAAATGTGTTTGTAAATAAATCTTCCAAGTGTGTGCTAATCCTTATATTTTCCTCCGTTCTTTAATATTTTTATTTCTAGCTTTATTATTTTATATTCCAAATTTTACCCAAATTCTACCGCTGGCTTCCTTCCTCTTATAACTTTCCGTGGTCTTTAGTAACTGAAATCTCTATATTTCGACGTTGCTTTGTGTACTTAATGTAGATTTGTGTTGGGTTATGTTTGTGTTGTGTTACCTTCTCTCCGTAGACCTGTCCGTTGGGCAGCGCCATGGGCGGGTTGTGCTCGTTGAGGGGCTCGTTGGAGATGCGGCAGAGCAGGCGCGAGTGCGAGCAGTGCGCGTGCGGCAGCGTGCGGGCCAGCGCGTTCAGCGGCGGCGCGCACGCCGGGCACGACGACACCTTTGTGCTCTCGTTGAAGCACTGAGTATGCACAAGTTAAGGTACCTAATGTATATTCCTACAAGACTGACATCGCAGAATTTAATAAAGTAGCCTGTAACATGCCCGCGTACATCAGCCACCTTTCCGTCAAAGTCCTGTTAAAATCGGTCCAGCCGTTCCAAAGATTACCCGGAACAAACGTACCGACATGCAGATAAAAATTTAAAAAATTGGTATTTCGTTATTAGTAATGCAAATACATCACGTGTACGAAATATGATTTCAAAAGGAGTAGGGCTTCTAGAATTCCAGTTAACTTAAAAATGTTTTCGTGTATATATGTGTGTCGTGTTGTATATATAAAAGGATATGGTGTGTTGAGTGCGGCGAGGCCGAGCTGGAGGGTGACGGTGAGGGGCGGCAGATGCGCGGGGTGCAGCAGGCGCGCGTGCTCGCTGCGGAACTGCGCCACCAGCGACAACCACCTGCTCTCAGACAGCAGGCTGCGGTACGGCTCCACGTCTATGTAACATACACTATTGTACATACAGACTAACAATGATACCCAGTGGTTATAAATCTAACTAAATTATGATCTCACTAGCGCCCTCATGTCAATGTCAAAAACTGTCAACCTTTTAGCATTGTACCTGTCATGTCATTTTTTCTTCCATGTCATTTTCTATGCTAAACCGCTAGTTTCCGAGACCTAAATCTTACCAATATTATAAATGCAAATGTTTAGGTGGATGTACGGATGGATGTTTGTTTGAAAGTATCTCTAAATTAGCATACATGTAGCATATAGTCTGGAAGAACACAGGCTACTACTCATTAAGTTTTTTTTTTATTTCGAGCGAACGGAGTCGCAAACGACAGCTAGTAATTGATGAAGTTGACTGAAGTGCCATCTGTTTTACTAAATCAATAACAGTGCCATCTATTGTGTAAATATATACGAGATATACCAGTATCCTTGGGGAAGGCGAGCATGCCCATGCAGTGCTGGATGTCTCTCAGCTGGCCCTCTTCGTACGTGGAGAAGTGCTTCTTGGCGTAACGCACCGCCTCCAGCCGCCTCTCTTCGCGCACCAGCTCTATGAACTCCTGATAAACAAGTTAATTATAATTAATAATCACTACGCACAACTGAACATAAGAATACCTTTTGTGGTTAGATATATATTAGATTGTTTGTGTTTGTTTGTTTATTTGTTGTTTATTATACATAATGCGAAATCACATACATTTTATAAACTTTTTTTTGTTTTAGGTTTTTCAAAGAGTACAATAAAACATGGTAATTAAATAGTCACCTAAACTATATCTAATTTTATAAAGAGAAAAGGTTTTTACTGTCATCTTTAACAAATATACTAAAAAACTACTAAACAGATTTCAAAAAATCTTTTGCCTTTAGAAAACTGCATTATCACATAATAATATTAATTACTAGAATTTTTTATTCTGTGCAGCCGAAATCACGGGCAAAAGCTTGTCTGTCAAATGAAATGATTAAGTGGTGAAATATACCACGATATTTGTAAAGACGTACCTGTATACGTATATTGAACTCCATGATAGAGTTGAGTTTACGCAGCTTGGACTTGTTGTCTGCGCACCACTGCAGGCAACGCGCAGTGCGCCGCGCGCTCAACTCGCGCTCCACCTCCGCCGCAGCCTGGTAGATGTCTGACACAAAGAATTATATATATTACACTTAATTAAAACAGGTTGTTGGGATTCTTATAATGAGTGTGTTCCGGAGGCCTAATTTTTGTCATGTTTTCTTTACCAACGTTTTCTTATAAGGAACGCATGAAATAGCGAAGCGACCGTTGCCCATAAACAAATGCAATTGCAGATGCCTTCTATTCCTTTAATCGATGGAGGAGGGGATAATGCACAGAAAGAGAAAATTTTCCCTTCCCATGCATTCCCATCCTTTACTTATAAGAAAAATGGTGGAAAGGAAACCAGGACTAAACTTAGGCCTCCGGGACGCCCACTTATCAGACTGTTGACTTGACGCCTATCTTCAGTATAGTCATGGCATTGCACTGGGTGATCTGACAAAGTTGTGTGAAGATGTTAAAGCGGGCTCTACCACTGTTGAAACTTTCTGTGCAATCAATATAAAATCACCAAATATATTATTATATGAAAAACAGAGTACTCTTACCAACGTTAGTGAGGTCGCGCAGATCTTTAGCATCTGCCAGCTTGGTGGCCGAGTCATAGTAGCCGTTCCTCAGGAAGTAATCCACCAGCATACGATCCAAGCGAACTTTGCGCCATTGATTCAAAGATGTCTATAACACAATAACAGCATTATGATATACAATAAATTAGATATAAAATATTTTATAAGAAAATTTCTCCAAAATTTCCAGTATTAAAATACAAAAATATATTGACATCTTTCAAATTCTCTTTGATAAAACAGAATTTAAAGGAAATAAATAATTAAGTTGTTAGGAAAGCTATAAAATAGTGTAAGGTGTCAGTTTCAGACCATAGTTTGGCTTCTATGGACCACTAGTTGGAGAGCATTGGTTGAAAACATAATTTGTTTACGCACAAACAATAAATTGGCAAAGATAATATAAGAGTGGGATAAAATAATAATGATGTTGGAAATATAACAGATAAAAAATTATTGAATATCTTACTTGAGCGGCAATGGGGTCCTGCAAGGCCTCAGCTTGTTCCTTGAGGTGATCGAGCCTCTTCTTGCAAACATTAGCTGCTTGTACCTCCTCATTGATAGCTTCAGAAGCCTTGCGTTTCATTGTCGTCAGCTTTTCTACCTGTATTCAATCAAAACATAGGAATAAACATTGATAAAGTACTAGTAAGAATATTGAGTTCTTAATTTTAGACTATATTAGAAGCCCAGGAGAAGATCCAAAGACTGCAGATTTAGCTTTTAACACTTGAGTATAAATATTTTAAGTAGAATATGCATAATATCCAGGGAGTTGTTTATCTGTGAAGTTATTATAATATATTTAATTATTCCTTAAAATCATCAATTCTTGTGGTAAAGAATAGCTTTCTGTTGCAAAAAAGGGTTTATAAATAAATAACAACAAAAGGTGAAAATTGCTGAAGTTTTTCTCCTTTACTTAATTATTTTGGAAACCTATATTAAAATACTCCATTACAGCTCAATTCTAGACTGAGTTCAGCAGAAATATTTAAATAAATTAATTCCTATTCCTTATTTCACATACCATTCCACCAAGCAATGTAGTTATTTCCCCCGCAGTAACGTCTTCTCTCTTAGCGGCTGTATCCAGCTCTGTGGCAGTGCTGCCGACGTGACGCGCCTCCACGTCTAGTATACGTTGTGCATTCCTGTACTTTTTGTTGAACACTTCGTATGGCACCTAGAATCAAATATGTCAATAGGCTTAGCTTTGACTGAATATACTGTTAGTGTGATCAATGTTTATTTCAGAGTACCCACATTTCTGAAGCATAAAACTAAAAAGGAAAGAGACGAATTTATTTTATTTTTACTCAATTAAATTTTATCTTACAAGGTTTTGGTGCTTTTCATACATTTGTGCAATACTAGCAATAATTGTAGAAACAGTTTTATAATTTTGTCATACAAAGATTTAAAGGTTTTCAAATCTATGAATACACATGAACAAATATTTCCTATCATCACGCAATTCTATAACGCATAAATATTTTTCTATTTTATACACTAAGGATATTTTAAAACACATGAAAAGTTACTTACGCAGTTCTAGATGAATGTAAAAAAATACCAATAATATCTTGAATTTCCAGATAAGACGAAAAATAATTAAAAAGACAACAGACTTTTCAACAGAACAGTGGGTACTCAAGAACTATAAATATATAGTTCTAGTTTAAAACACATATGGTAACTTGTTGCAAAATAATAAGTATGCCCTCTTCTATTGCGAAGTAAGTTTGATAATGGTTCACAAAATAGCTCACGATCGGGAGAGTATATACAAACATTTTTTTAAAGCTCACCTTTAAAGTTGCATGTTCGAGAGATTTGATTTCGTTCATTTTGATTGTTTGTTTCGCAAATTGTTAAATATGGATAAAACGCCTAAATTCGATGACAGTTTAAAACAATGACAACAAAACTCAGCTGATTGCCATCAAAAGTAAACACGACAAGAAATTACTAAAATGTTTGATGGATATTTTTAAGACATATTAATATATAAACGACGCGTCGGTTATCAAAAGATGAAACGTTTCTTGCAATATTAATATTTTTTAATTAAAAAATAATGGAGTCTTTACAAGAATCGAAAATGGCTTTTATTTTCAGTGGCAGCACTACTTTGTTATGTTGCCACAATATGACAAAACCATAAATAAACACAATAAATACAAAATAGTATTTTCATGTAAAATCTCTCTAAAATGGAGTAATTTTATCAGCATAACGGTTTCTGGTAGCCTTGTTTAAAGTTTTGAAGTAGTTTTTAGTTTTATTATATAATCTATAAATTGAGGAATGCTTTTTAATCTGCACAACTTGTCGGCGCGTCAGCGCGTCACTTTCATTACGCTAATCCGCCATTTTGTACGGAGCTGGCGGTGATTCAGGGTTCGCTTTCCCGGTTTAGTGTTTATTGCGAGAAAACCAAGAAAACTTCATTCAAATTGACTTCGTTTATTGACTGTGAACAAAACAAACGTTACAGTGACATAATTTTGCTGCCTTACGTTGTGCTTTCGTGATTTGTGAGTGCCCTCTAACTGGAGCGCGTGGCTGGTGATTCTTTGTTGTTGGATTCAGCATTTTAGACGGTAAGTTCGTATATATTTGTTGTTAAAGAATCGGCTAGAAGTATGTGTCAGCGTTAGTCGGCAGTTTGGCAGACATAAACATAAAAGCAAACGTGTTATATTATGTGAAAATGTGATAGCGTCATCGTAATGGTGGCGAAGCGGGCTCCGTGCAGTGGTCCAGTTGACGGGCGACGACATATTCGCCGACGCCACCGACGCGTCACAAATTCACGGCCACAGAACCGTGCGGGTCATGACTTTCTAGAACTTACTGATATTTGGGTACTACTTGAAGTTTAACGAGCACGCGGTGTTTTAAACTGCGCGCTGTTGGGACTTTGATGACCTACTTATACTTTAGAAAGTTTAATTTACGAAGATATTCAGCTCTTGTAGTTTAGGATTTTAGGCACGACAATCAAACAGTTCATTCATTTTTTGGTTCTAACGTGTTATTTAAAAGGAGAATATATAAAATATCGTTTATAAAATATTAAAAGATTAAAACTAAATAATTGTGCAGGTCAATGTTATCAACTTTCCTGTGATTATGTTACTTATTTTTGTTTACTTGTATACACTTGTTGTTTATGTAAACTTTTTACATAATAACCTGTGATTAATAAAGCGCTACTTTAAAATATTCAACAAATTTTTAAGTAAACAAAAGATTATGGTGGTAATAAAATGAAATTATCAAAGTTCCTTAACCAAAACTGGGATTACCAAAACTTTTAAGAAACTTTGCTTAATGTTAGTAATTATATTTTAATATAAAACAGACATAGTCAACATTTTGAGTAAAGTTTTCAAAGTTAAATTAGTACTGACTTCTCATTCAACTTAGTTTGAATTGGGTAAAAACTTTGAATGGATTTCATTGGAAAGTTTTGCCTTTCATTATTTACCTATTTAGCTTTTGCGTTTGTTTTCACTTGTTAACTTTGTACTTGTTGGATATCTTTTGTGAAGTTTCATTAAATTCTCCATCAAACTTTCTTTTCTATGCTGTATTATACTTGATTTTAATAAACAAAGTTTAGATTTAAAACTTTGGGAAAAGAGGCTTGTGCTTGTTATTTAATGAATTTTGTAAACTTTAATTGTTGTTATTGTAGTACGCTAAGTTAATGCTATATTGTAATTAAAACTTTTTTTTCAACAATGAGGCACTGCATTTTCGTGTTATATGACAGAAATCAATAATACTTTTGTCGTCTTTTAAATTTTATAAATAAATAAATAATAAATAAATAAAACTTCTTTATTGCCATTATAATAGTATAATTAGTAATAATAGTTGATAGCTAAATTGTAGTATAGGATAGGATGTGGAAGAGATCAGTTTAATCTGCAACTATTCTTATATCATTATTATTATTACAATATTAAATAGAAGGTTTAGTTAATCTTATATAAATAATCTTAAGAAAATCCCATAATACTTGTCTTTCACTTTCTCAATATAACAGTAAAATTAATTCATTCAATAGGAAAAACAGCAGCTGTTATTTAAGAACCTAAGTTTTCTTTGTATACCATTAATTGGCCTTTAAAAAATGCATCTTGGTTTGACAGAATAAGATACAAGACAGCTTAACTATAAAAAATTACACAAACAAAGCTATTAAGTTACATATTCCAGTGGTGTTATTGGATAAGGCAATGTTGCAACTTGAGTAATGTAGCTCAGACCGTCCACAGCCTGCCAAAGTGTTGTAAACTATTTAGTGACAACCAACTGTTTGACTTACAAATTACAAGTCCAATCCAGTCCAGACTATCTAACCTCTTAGCTATATTAGGAATGGCTTATAAAATTGTTTCATATGTTATGTAACTAGTTGTCGCCTGCGACGCCGTCCACGCGGAGTTAAGACAAAGCCCAATTAGTAGCCAATGTGTTTGTCCAAATTATGGTCTACATCTACTTCAAATTCCAGCTAGATCAATGTTGTGGAGATACCATCTAACAAACCATACATGTAAACATTTACATTTATAATATTGGTATGATTATAAACATAATTTACTAATGTTTTTGTCAGAAATATCCTTACTAATGTAAAATATGTAGTAAATAGAGTTCAGTGTGCTTTTATGTTTGCACATTCTTATGTATCTACGTCAACATCTTATCAATCCTTATCAATGTTGCTCTGTATTTTTTATATAATGTTACTGATTCTTTTCTTGATAATAAACATCTTGATTCTATACTACGATAAATATGTACGCAAAATGCAATTTATATTCTTAAACCATCTTCCAATACAAATTCGTAAAAAAGCGTAGAAATTATTTAAAGTTATAATGCTTTCAAATAATAACTTTAAAAATATATCCTAATAAAATTAATGATTGTTAATTTTACAATGAAATCTAAAAGACAATAAAACTGATAAAACAAGTTCCAACATGAACAGGTGGTCTTGCTAAAACCCAATTTTTGGTTGCAATAAACAATTTGCTAAAATATTTCACTCAAGATCATTTCAGATCAGAGGGTGCCTAGCACGAAAATTTGCGAAAAAGTATTCGTAATGTCATCGACGAAATACTATTGAAGAAACTTATTCATTACGTTTACGTAACCTTGAGTTTGAGCAACCTGTACAAATAATAAAGAAATAATTTTTCAATTCAATTAGTAAATCCATATTATGAATCATAAGTACTTTTATGTCAATAGTATAAATGAGTTAAATGTTTATTGCTAGAGCACTTTATTTAACTGCAGTCGGCCGATGGAATGATTAGAAACTAGGACAGATGCGTCGTATCGTTGGCGCTGGTGGCATCCCTGCTGTGCCGATGTCAAGATCTCAATGCCATACGTATACACAATACACTTTGCATATAAATCTAATAGGGTTGTCGATATTTCTTTCATTTAATAAAATAAGGTTCATTTTTAAGACAGGAAAACATTGATTGAAGTAATAAATTATCGTTATGTAAAAGAAGATAACTTTTAATTGAAGATAAAAAGATAAATTTTATTATAATCATAAAAAAAATATAGGAAGTTTTTTTATTGCATTTTAAGTATTTCCGAAGGGATACAGTTATTTGGAAAATTTCTAGTTTACATAATTGTATGTTTAATAATCTGAATAACTAAAAGACGTTAAACCTCTTCAATAAGGCTTCAGTATAACGAGGATTTAAGCCGATTCAAGGTCAATGCGCTTAAGCTAAGCGCTTTAAGTAAAATGTTCTAATCGCTGTAAGAGGCATTGATTTAAGAATATTAATTGCTATAGTAATTCTTTGATAATTTGTGATAGATTGAAACGACGCGACTCATAGATTAAAAATCTTTTATAGCCAAATGCTTACGTCAATATCGATTTTTTTTTCTTTCTACGACAATTAATTCTGGCCTAACAAGTGTAGTTTCGTCCCAAAAAGATAACTTCATTTGCACAAAGTTAATCAAAGTAAGTTCGAGTAATTTTATCTTAAACCTTTTAACTCGCCGACTTGATAAGATATGAACGTGAAAAAAATTACATTACACTTTTGGTACACGTCTGATTTGTTAAATAATGTATGCATTTTTATAACGTTCTGAATTCATAATTAAAGATTCAATTCAGAGGAAGGACACGAATAAATTTAAACATTGATACTTTTATTCGAGATGAATAATTTTATAAGCTGTGAAGGTGGTAAATTGGATGACTAATTGATCAAATACAAATAAACATTGTATTTGTTATAAAACTTGCTACTGTATTTTTCCATTTGTGTGATATTAAAAATAATAAATACGCGCTGTACAACCATAAAAGTCGCGCCATGCACGATGTTTCTCGGTAATAGTCTGTGTGATGTGTGCTCGGACCGCATCCGTTCCCTCTATAGCCTACACACACGCACACGACCGCCTCTCGTCGATCGGCTATCGATTCTGACCGTTAAATACGCGCCATACCTAACATACCTGTTTTTTTTTAATACTATATTTGTACATGGCCAGTTGTATAATGATTTTAAATAAAAAAATAATGTTTATGAAATTTTATAACTACTTTTTCTTAGAAAGGAGAAAAAATGGCGATTTATAATTTAAGTGCTGTAAAATGTGCGGCACTAACATCATTAATTTTCAGTGTATAGTGAGATGGGGTCAAATTCCCAGTACGCACTGAATTTGTTAATTGCACGCGTCCACGATCCGGCAAAGGAAATATATGCGCATACATTGCGGCCGGTGCGCCGCAGCCGCTATCGTTTTTCCGTAGGCGGCTCGTTTAGAACGCAAATTTCTCCTCTGTACTTGCATTGCATTTGTCCCTCATTTTTTAAAAACGGGGATAGGTTAATGACGTATTTGTTTCAGTTTTTTTCAATGTTTCGGACTTAACCTTTCTTTATGAATATGCTCTATGTAAAAGCAATTTGTTGTCTATGATGAGTTTATTTAATTTTTAATTCTTTGATAGTTTATTGTAAACTTGGAGTTAAGCCAACTCTCATTAATAATTGGATCACAATGTTTATCCAAAGTAGAATTA